AGGCATCCCTGACTCCCACTCACCCTGGGTCCAGAGTCACTGTTCTTATAGTGTTCTTACAGCAGCATTTCTCTTCCTCCTCACTCTCACCTCAGCTCAAATACTTATTTGGGGGTATTTGTTTAAATTCATCTTCCCCAGGAGACTATAAGCTCCATGCTGGGAGTGATATGTCTGTTTTTGCTCACCATTGTATCCCTAAAGCCTGGGATATAGCCTGGAACACAGCAGATACTTTTAACATGTTTGTTGAATGACTGAATGACCTCATGCAATCCCCCCAAGAAATCTGTAAAGATCTTGCCTGTGGCTGGCACCCTTTCTCTACTCTGACCTCCAGTAGCACCTGTTCTTTAAACATTACAACATGGGAAGCAATTGACTCTGACATTGAGGGTTCTGAACCCTGACTATCTGGGTTCAAATCCTCTCTCTGCCACTTCCCAGCTGTGTACTACTCAGCAAGTTCCTTAACATCTCTGTGCTTTCATTTCCTCTCCTGTAAAATGTCAGTAATAATAGTAACAGTGCCTGTCTCATGGGCTGGTTTTAAGATCAAATAAGTTAGTTTCCATAATATGCTTTTAAAATGCCCTACCACATAATAGGTGACCCATTATACTTAGTAGTTACTAATGTTATTAACAGAAAGAGCACCCATTAGATGGAGTTAGGAGGCCGTAGTTTTTTAATATTTCCAATTATTCCTAAATATTTGTGACTTTGGATGAATCAGGTCACATCCCAGAGCCTCAGTTTCCCCATTTGTTAAATCAAGATCTGAAGACAGACTTCAGAGAGGCTGCTGTGAGGGTCATACAGAATGTGGGAGAAGCCCTGAGCCCAGTGCTGGCACATGGTGGCTGCTTCCCATGATAAGAACTTCCTATCTACCTAGCTCCTCTCTACCTGGCACATAGTAGGTGTTCAATAAATAGTTCTCTACTGGGCAGACAAATGAATAAAAACTCATATTTATGTTCAAGGCAAGACTAGTGCAGTCAGACATTGGGGTGCCTATAATCTCAGCACTCTGGGAGGCTGAGGCAGGAGGATCACAAGTTTAAGCTCACTTTGGGCAACCTAGCAACTTACTGTCTCAAAATAAAAAGGAGCTATAGCTCAATGAGAAGGCACTGAGTTCAATCCCCAGTACTGTGGGGAAAAAAAGATTAGTAAAAGATTAATTCAATGCCCACCATCTAATTTGAATAAATATTTGAGGAAAGAATAGATTTTCCCCCCTCTACTGAAGATTGAACCCAGGGCTTTCATACTGACAGCTACATTCCCAGCCCTTTTATTTTTTACTTTGAAATAGGGTCAAGCGGAGCGCAAACTTGCAATCCTCCTGCCTCAGGCTCCCAGAGTGTTGGGATTACTGGTGTGTGCCACTGCCCAGCAGAACGGGTTTTTAGAAATGGATGGTTGTTTTAGTTTCCAGTTTCCCTTCAATTTCTGAATTAAACTGAGAAAGAGTCTGTGATTACCTTGCCTGGGCTAAGGGATGCCCTGATAGCTACTGAAACATCGCCCCTGGAGGTGTCTGAGGGCATCTGAGTTGGGAGACTGAGGGAAGACCTGCCCGCACCCAGGCTGGGGGCACCAGGGACCCACCTTTGACCTGCATGGATCGCAGGGTAGGGGATGAGCAAGTGCAGCTCAGTGCTTGAGCTGGGGCATCCATTGCCTCCCAGAACTTCCGGTCCTCGGGTCTTCAAACTCCAGAAGAAGCCTCACGATGGCCTCCTGATTCTCAGGCCTTCTGGTGTGGCCTAGAGCAACGCCACTGGCTCTCCAGCTTGCACTCAGCAGACTGTGGGACTGCTCAGCCTCCGTAGTCGCATGAGTCAATCCATCATGATAAAGCTCTCTCTGTGTAGCTCTATCTGTCCCATCGGTTCTGTTTTTCTGGAAGATCTTGACTAATATCGAGACTTCTTAACTTATCCCAAATCTCTCTAAACCTTCTTATTCTTATTATAAAATGGGGGCTATTAATAACATCTACCACATAAGATTATGGGGGAAAATAAATGAAACAATATGTACATATTTGGCACACAGAAAATTTGTTAGTTTGCTATCGCTCCCTTTCTTGTTTCCTCATCTGCTTAAGGACATTCATTCATTCACTCAAACACAGGGCCCAAGGGCACCAACATTCCATCAGTTTGAATAGGAGCTGCTGCCTAAGGGCTCTGGCTTCTGTAGCTGGAGTCTGAAAGGCCCGGGGCTGCGGGGCTGTCCTTCCTGGCTCACAGAGTGTCAGTCACGGTGAGCGCCCAGGGCTGATGCTTCCTACTGAAGCTCAAATTTGCCCCTCTTTTCCTAGGTCCTACCTTCAAGGGGCCTGAGCAGTGCTTCCCTTACACTTGGTGTGGCACAGTGGGAAGATGCCTCCAGCAAATGCTGGGTCCCCCCTTAGTTGTCAAAGACAAGCCTGCCATCTCCTGAGGTAGGACAGAGGAGCAGCCTGGACATTGGAGATGTGGGAGAGACCAGGCCAGGCCACGCCTCTGGGTTCCTGCATCCAAGTGGGTCACATGCTTATCTCTGGTACTCACAGCTGACTCCAGGGAACTGACTCCTGCCAACCAAACTCACAAGAGACTGAAACATTTGGATTAGAATTTTACATTCAAGATGAATGTATTTGTGGGGTTGGGAGGGATTATGCATCTCCAGTGACCAAAATATTTGCACCTGTTACCCACAGTAGTCTTTTGTCTTTTATTTTCCATTGTAAGAAATTTATATGCCAGGGGTATTTAACTACTAGGAATGAGCCTGCTGTCAGAGGCCTGGCCAGAGGTGGAAGGACCTCTGAGTCCCAGCGACCCATCCCGACTGGACCTCAGGGAGGAAGCCAGATTTACGAGGTGAGAGCCTGCCTGGGCCACCGCTTCTGCTGGGAAAGGCCTCCCTGCAGTATTTTCTGTCACGTCAACGCTGCATTTCATTTTAAATTGCAGCTGAAAGCAGATATTTTCCCTCTTGCCTATTACACCTCTTAATTTGTCTCTCCCTCTGCTATTATTTGTCTCTGTAAAGTGTTTTGCACAAAAGACCCACAACAGCACAATGTTGCTTCACCCTAGGTTAGGTCTAGCAGGAAGGAGAGACACAGGCAGAGTCCAAGTGGGAGCGTGAGGGCCTCAGGTCCGCGCACCTCCCTGGCAGTGTGTGCACGCGCATGTTGTCGGAGGTACCTGTGGGCTGGGGTCTGTGGATATGCTTGTGTGCCCGTGTCTACATGTGTACTAATATGCAGATGTGTCTGTGTATACTTTCGTAAAATTGCCTGGGTGTCCGTCTTAATTGTTGGTGTGTAAGTACACTCCCACAGGACAGTCTGTGATTTTTGTCTATGCAGAGCAGCATACGCATGCACATAACCACACGCAGGCACCCAGCTACATGTAGGTCAATGATGTGTGTAGCGTGTAGTGCGTAGCTCGCATACAGGGCCCTCTTTCTCTTTTGCTTCTTAGGGCTGCGATTAGCATCGCTCCCTGTACCACCCAAAGGCCCTGGCAGGCCGTAGGTTGTTTAAAAGGAACTCGCAGCAGCGGTCTTCGGAGCTCGGGACACCGCCGTGGCCTGACTGAACCATGGCCACAGTTTGGCTTCAGCCACCTCCACTGCCCAGTCTGCCGCAGCAGCACCACCGGCTCTGGGTGGGCTCTAGGCACCCCTGGGCAGGCCCCCAGGGTGCGGGCTGTCAGCTGCAGGACAATCCTCCTGTCACTGAGGGGTGAGAGAGGTCACCCATTGACCGGAAGAGCCCTGCAGAATGGCTCTGTCTCCTGCCCTTTCTGAGGGGACTAAAACCTAGAGCAATCCAGGCAGAGTGGGGGGTCTCAGTCACTCGCAGTCCAGCCAACTCTGGGCAGTAACCAATGGGTGACTGTGGCCCAACGGGGATTCCTCGGAGGCAGCCAATGACCTCGCTCCGCTCTCCACCCCGCCCTCGCCAACCCTACGCAGCTGGACCATTGGTGCGGGTGGGATGGGGGAGTGTGCGCGGCACTGGCCCACGGAGGAGGGCGTGGCCTGGGGTTCCGTCTCCTCTCCCCGCAGAGCTCAGCGCCCTCGCCCCTACCCGGAGCCGAGAGGCCATTGGCCTGGCCACGGCGCCGCTGGTGGTGGCGGAGGAGGAAACAAGGGGTGCGCGGTGGGCGTGGTTTGAGGGCGTGGCCCGGTGGGAGGCGGGGCCGCGGGCGCTGTCGCAGTGAAAGCCCGAGCGAGCGGCGGCGGCAGTGGTGGAGGCGTCCGGGCCGGTGTGGGCGCTTGCGGGGCGCAGGCTCGGCGCGGCTACGGCTCTGCCTGCGGCCCGGGCCGTCTGGAGCGGCCGCGGTAAGGACGCCAGCTGCAGTGGGGGAGGCGCAGCCGGGGTGCAAGCTCGGCGGAGCCGGCGGGGCCGCGAACAGGTGATCCCAGCGGGAGCCCCGAGCCCTGCTGAGTTGGCGGGGCGGGAGCCCGCGCTCCGGGGCGCAGCTGCAGCCGCCCAGCCGCGGCTGGTCGCAGACGGCGCCCGGCCCTGGATCCCAGCTCGGGCAACCCTCCACTCCGGGGCCTCGCCAAGCCCCTGGCTCCCACAGGCTCCGAAGCGCCTGCTCCCGCCCCCTGACTCTCCCGCCCTTTGCCCCGGCGGAGCAAAGTTGTGGACGTGTCCCGGTCGCCCGGCCAGGGCGCTGTGGCGACCCCTCGGGTGGAGCGCGCTTGGGGCAAGGCTCTCTCACCCCCCCCCCCGCCGTCTTGCCTCCAGAGCTGGCCCTCTGGAAACTGCTCCCGAGGCTGAAACTTTGGGCTCCGGCGAGCGCGGGAGGGAGCCCGGAGGACCGAGGGCGCCCCGGCGCTGGGACGGCATGTGACAGCCGTTGCGGGGAGGCAGGCGAGGCTGCGACGCGCGGCCGAGCATTGCGGGCCCGGGCCCCGAGCCGCGCCTCCCCGCTTGCCCGGGTCCCGCCCGCCCCCGCGCGGGAGCGCTCGCTGCAAACTCTCTGAACTTTGGGGACCGTCCCCGAAGCGCCGGAACTCGGGGTTGGCGAGCCTGCCCCAGGATCCCCACCCTGGGCCGCGCCCCTGCACGCCGATCCTCTTGGTTTGCCCCCTGCGGACACGTGCGTGGACTCCGAGGACCTCGGGGGTCCCGGGCGGAGCTGACGGCCCCCAGACCGGCGCCGGGCCACGATGCACATGAGGAAAGTGCCTGGCTTCGTCCCAGCCTCCCCGTGGGGGCTGCGACTGCCGCAGAAGTTCCTTTTCCTTCTCTTCCTCTCGGGCCTCGTTACCTTGTGCTTTGGGGCCCTCTTCCTGCTGCCCCACTCTTCTCGCCTCAAGCGCCTCTTCCTGGCATCCCGGACCCAGCAGCCCGGCCTGGAGGTGATGGCCGAAGTCGCCGGCCACCCTTCGGCCCGCGAGCAGGAGCCACCCCCTAAGCCAGCCCCTGCGGTGCCGGCCCCGGGTGAAGATGACCCCAGCAGCCGGGCGGGTCCCCGCCCCAGGAAGGGATGGCTGCGGCGCACCCGCCCCACCGGACCGCGGGAGGAAGCCACGGCTGCCCGGGGCAGCGGTGTTGCGGCCCTGAGGCCGGGCGAGGAGAGCATCCCATTCAGCTTTGACTTCAGCGCGTTCCGGAGTCGCCTCCGGCACCCAGTCCTGGGGACAAGGACTGATGAAAGTAAGGAGCCCCAGAGTCGAGTGAGAGCCCAGCGGGAGAAAATCAAGGAGGTAAGCTCCCCACCTCCCATTCCCACCCCAGGAAAAGATTTCTCTTACTCCCATGCATTTTCCTGACCCCAGCCCTCCCTGGTCCCTGGTCTACTGTAGGGCCCCCAGACACAGCAGCCCCGTCTCTCCTCCCAAACTTCCTGTCGTCCCTCCCTGCACACTTTCTCCCCAAGGGTTCAGTTGATCATCTTCACTTCCTAGGATAGTGGCTGAACCCCTGGAGCAGTTACTTTCCCACCACCCTTAGACTGGCTTTTCTGTTCAGTCAGCCCAGATGGGCTCCACTCTTTCCCTTGGTAGAGTTGCTAGTGAAAGTGGAGTTCAGATTCCTTAATGGGGATCCTCTGCATTTGTAGACACAGGAGCCACTGAAAATACTCTTTGTCACTGTGAGTCTTTAAGTCTTGACTTCCCCCAATCTCCCGTAGGACCTGCTACCCAAAAACCTAGGATTTGAGGGATACTTGGTATCTTGCAAATATTTAGTAATTTACTCAGCACCGTACAGACCAGAGAAGTTGTTCGTTCCTGCTGTTTCTATTGAGCTTTGGAACAGTTGTACATAATTGCATGTGATGAAGCAAGGAATGATTGATAAGACAGTGGTAACGTTACAGAAGCTCTGAGGTTATTGGCTTAATGAACCAGGTCTTAGACTGGTTCCTTGCAGAGATTGTACCAGGGAGGAATTTAGAAGGATCGCTTTGAGTCTGAGTCTTGGTTTAAGAAATCCAAAACAAACACAGCCTTATAGGCTTGAAGACAGTTGCCCGGTGGCCACTAATGCCTATTCTACCCCATCACTGTTAGAGCACCTTATGGGAGGTATGTGTCCAGCAATGCAGAGGGGGCTGCAGTGACACCCCCAGGCCACCAGGGGGCTGTGGACAAGTAGTGGCTCAGGGTCTCTTCCCTAGAAACCAGAGGATGCTCTCCCCTCCCCCATTGACCCAGAAGAAAAGAGTTGCTTCAGTTTGGACCTCTTGCTTTGCTGCAAGGGAGCCAGCAGGTCTGCCCTGATTTCTAGGGACAGCAGGCAGCAAGGGTCAGGATTTTCCCTGCCAAGACAGACGAAGAACTTGTGGAAAACTTGGCTGTCCCTTTCCCCTTATCTGAACTCTCCTCCCTCCCATTGCCCATCTCTGCCATTTATCTCTGCTCTTACTCAGCCATGCTATGCTGTGCCGTTTGAGACTGTCTTAACTAGCGATCGCAGGACATTTTGTGAGGTCAAGCTAGGAATCCACAAGAAGCTGAGTCCTTGGTGTATGTGTGTGCGTGCATGCATGGCTCTGTTCTTAAATTCTTGTTGAAATTGCAAAGGTTAATTGAAGGCTAGAACTTGCAGTAGCTAAATAAGGGGCATTGTTTCTCTCCCCTTTCTATTAAGGAACTGTGTGATTCACAGTTCACCTGGACCTCCCCGAGCTGCCTTTCTCAAAGCTTCCTCTGAGTGTATTAGCTCTTTCTGCTCTTCTGGCCCTCCTAGGAGGACAGTAACTCTGAGTGAAATTCCATATAAACTACATGTGTAGTTTTTCATGGAATGTACAGAGCTGCCATCAGATTTTCCAAAGGATCCCCAAAGGATTAAGAATTAACTAGTATCTTCCTCAGAAGACATGTGACTCGTTTCTGAAAGCTTAGGCTTGGAGCCATGGTAGGAGGGATAGGCTGGCTAGTGGGGAATTTGAGTCTCTATAAAGGCAGCCTCCTCTGCCCGCAGAAGCTGGGGGTCGGGTAGCAGGTGTGTGAGAATTTTACTTTGCAGGTGGGTGTAAAATGACATGATGGGGGAATCCACATTTGTTGCCAATTGTCTGGATCTGTCTGTATGGCATTTCCTCTGACCCCGTAGTAGCAGGAGGCTTGCATTTACCTGTGGCTGGTGTTCAGCAGTCCTCTCTTACTATTTTTTTTTTTTTGGCAGTACCAGAGATCGAACTCGGGACCATGTGCTTTCGAGGCAGGTGCAGTGCCACTGAGCTAAATCCCCGGGCCCTCTCTTACTATCTTGAAGATTGTAAGCACCTCAGAGTAGAGGGGCTGGTTCATGTACACTATTATGTTTTGAAGCCTGATGTGTCTTCAGGTTTCTTGAACCTGAAAAATGTGGGGCAGAATTGTTGGCTTAGATGTTCACATGGGATTGCTATCCCTGACATCTCACCTGGTAAGGAATACATAGGGCTCCTGCTGGGGGCGTCTTTATTTCTGTCTTGTTCAAATTTCTCTCTGAGTTACACCTAGGGGAAAATCATTTTCAAAAGGTGCCGATTTTCACAAAAGGGACTGTGGCATTCATTTCTGGTTTGTTTCTTTCCAGACATGGATTGATTAGACCCAAGGAGCAAAGGGAGAGCTAAAATCAGATAAAAAGGGCTCTGTTCTTATAAGATGAGGTTTTTAAAGTGAAAATAAACATCAAGACAGAATCAGAGAGGGTGATAAATGAGAGAGAATAGAAACTGGACACAGACTCTATATCAACAAAGTATATTTATGAGCATGCTGGTTTGAGAGAAGGATGTGGGCAGGAGGTCTGGGCTGATAAGATGGGTGGAAGCTTCAGGTTCTGGGTGTACATGCATCAGGAAACACTTCTCACTAGAACCAACTATTTTTCCTCAACCGCCCCCCCACCGCAATTTTTGGAACCTTGGAGAAAGCAAAGTGGTACAGAGGGGAGGCCCAGAGAACATGGCTTGTGGTCTCCGCTCAGCTGTCACCTCTCTGACTTTGGGCAAGATCCTTCTTGGACTTTCCTGTAAAATGGGGTGAGGGAAAAGCAAGTAGCTGGTCGCGGACACTTTGGCTTCCAGCACAGCCTCCTAAGGGAACTGCCAGTGTGGTCTGGGACTGTTGAGCAGTTGGACTTTCTCTGTTCCGTGAAGTGAAGGACAGCAGTGTAGTGGGGTTGATGCCATTGTTGTTCACTGTTGTGTCCCTAGCACTGCCCATTACTAGATATTCAAACATTTATTAACTATTCCTTGCATCCATGATGAACTTTGGAGATGGAATTGAATCGATCGTCAGTTGGGATCATGAAGACTAAAAGTGATGACCAGAGTGTAAAGGGAGAAATCTTGTTGGCAGCCTTCCCTTTCAGATCTGAAGGTCATAGAGGGAATGGAGGGACTTCACCCACAGATATATCTTACTGATTAAAGTTCAGACGTTTCTTAGACGTGACCCAAGTTGTGAATGTATAGCTTGCTGGGTTACATCTCAGCAAAATAATTCACACTGTCCTGGGCCCAGCTGAAGATTGTTAGTTGCTGATATAGAGAACCTCAGTTGTCCCTTCCAGTGAGGGGGTTTTTTGTTAAAGGGAATTGGGCAGTCTGGGGCTGTGAGTACGGGGTACTGGTGGTGGGGCTGTCTGGCCCATATGGATGACCTGCAGAAAGGGCCGCTGCTCTGGTTAGATGCAGCCACATGCTGAAGTGCTGGGCTGAGCACAAAAAACATGGGTTAAATTTCACCACCTTCACTCTCTACTCAGCCCAGAGTTCTCATGCCCCACACACATAGTAGTCCTCCAAAAATCCAACCTTGCTTCAAGGCCATCCACTCTGACTTTAAAGGGGGCGTTGTTTATCACTGGACCTCCATCTTCATGGTGAAACCACGGGACCTGCATTTGGGGGTATTACTCTCTTCCCCACCACTACCTGTTTACTGTTTTGTTTATGGATGTGCCCTATGACCTAGAAAGGTGTTAAGTTTCGATCTGACATTAAGTTGGAGCCCACATATTTGAATGAATAGCTACATTAAAGATCTATAACTGAGTTAAAGTTGCTGGTAGCAGAGACTGAGTCTTCTCCCTCAGGATACATGGAATTCTAAGGAGGCTCAGCTACAGCCAGGTTCAGGGACTTAGCAGTCCAATGACCCAAGCAGTCCTTTCAAAGTTGCAGTCCCATTGCAAGTGCAAGACTGTCTTGGTATGTGGGGTACATTTGTGAGTAACATCTTTCATGCCTGAGCAGCAGGCGTCTGGAGGATGCCTTGAGCTGTGCCATGGTTTGTGTGACTTGGCAGGGAGTGCCCCAGCACTGGTTCTCTGTGCTGGCCGAGTCAGTCCTCCAGGATCTTGCTGGTTTGATATGTGATGTGTCTGAGTAAGTCATCTTGGCAAGTGATCTTTGCTCCCCATTACTGGGCTGCTTCATTAGTCATGTGTGGTTTCTTTGTATATCTGATTTATCCTCACTGGTACCAGGGACAGGTAGGAAAATTAAAAGGCGTTGTGTTCTTTGTAGCATGTGCATCAGAGCCTGTGAAATATTTAAGATAATTAATATTAGGAATAGCCTTGATTTAAATAGCTTCCCCTGGGAGAGCTCTGAGTTGCAGATCCATTGAAGATCCTTTTTTCCCTCCCCTCTACTTCAGTTTCTTTAGTTCCCTCCCACCTTGGTCTGTAATATGTTTAACATGAATGGGAACTGGCTCTAATAACCAGGCCAGTCCCTTGAGAGACCCTTACATCCTCAGCCCAATCACACCCCCTCCTTTCTCTTTCGATCTGAGTGCTGCAGTTAGAGCAAAGCTCAAAACATGTCCCTACCAGCTGTACAACTCGACACCTGCAGGTTGGTTGGCTTTCTACTTTCATTTTGAGTTGCACCGTCATTTTGGGGAATTAGGCATTCCAGGAGCAGTTGTTTCTCAGGCCTCACATCCTTAACTGTGTCTTTAGTGTTGGGGCAGGAAACAAATACAATGATGACTTTGAAAAGTCAGCTGCTTATTTCACAGTACAGTTAGCAGGGGGGTAAGAATATAGATTCCCCTGTGATTTTCAGAGTGACTGATTTACATCTGAGTTCAAGAAATGCCTTTTCTCTAGCTTTCCAGGAAGACTGATCCATTACTCCACCAAAAATATTGTGATATATGTTAGGCATACTTCCTTCAAAGAGACTTACATCTTTTCTCTTACTGAACAACATATATTAATCAGTCTCACAGATTGTAAAGCCCCATGT